ATTACTGGGGTTGGTCTAATAAAAGATATCAGATTTACCCAAAAAATCTTGTCTGCACAAAATAGTCAATAATCTGACATTTGCATCTCTCAGTTCTTACCTAGCCAGATATATGCTATGCATATTAAAGTATCAAAAAGTTTATAAAATTCAAAAATAGCGCTTGATAATAAATAATACACATTCACTTTCTCTCTATGGACTTATCAGATAATAGGCCTGTGCAAAGCAGAAAGTATTCACTTTGAATTTAGATTTGGCAATTTGGACAGATAGTGATTCGAATCACTGTCCTGATTCGATGCGGCCAAATCCGAATCCAAAGATATTCACTGTCGAATCTCATTTGGCCATAGACTATACAGGCCAGCAGTGCTGGCAGGAGCAGCTAGACAAGCCCCAGCTTGAGCCAGTGGCCCTGGGAGAAGCTGCGGGAGCTGAAAGGAATGAATGGGGAACTGGGGAATTGAACCAGGAGCTGGGGGGAAGCTCCTAGTTCAATTTCCCCATTTCCCAGTTCAATCCCTCAGCTCCCAGATCATTCTCCCCAGCTCCCAACTATTCCCTCCAGCCCCCACAGCTTCTCCTAGGGCTGCCGGCACTGCCTGCCTCGCCCCAGCAGGGGTGTAACTGGGGGAGCAGCTGGACAAGCCACAGCTTCTCCTGGGGCTGCTGACGTAAGGCGGGGCTCATCTGGCTGCTCCCCCAGCTGCTTCCGCCGGCACTGCCTATTGCCTGCCTGTATAGTCTATGGCCAAATCTTCTAATCTCTCCGAATCCCTCTGAATTGATTCAGTGGCTTCTGATTCGGATTCAGAGAGATTAATGGGTCTCTCAGTTCAATTCTGATTCGGAGATTCAGCCGCCGAATCAGGCCGAATCTCCTCTGAATCGAATTGACTACCAAAGCTTCACACAGCCCTGTCAGATAATTTATTTACCTTAAAACATGCATTGTCTTTATTGAAAGCGAAGGTAACTATATTTTTTGCACTGTCAATTTTATCTCCTTTGCTAACAGTGATATTCACATGCGCAATGTTATACATTGCCTCCTAATCTTGCAGGCAATAACAATTTCCCTTTTGAATAGTTCCAACTCTGTTTTTTGAGGGTTTTGTTGTTGTTGTTGTTGTTTTACTACAGTTCCTAGGAGGATACACAAATGTTTTAAATTTTGTCTCCTGCAGTACAGTATCCTCCAGCATCAATGCTTTAGCTGCTGTCACCGTCGAGGATCTCATTAAACCTTACTTCAAATCACTCTCTGAACAGAAATTGTCTTGGACTTCCAAGGGGATGAGTAAGTCTGCAAGGGATATTTTCCAGTTTTCCCTTTAAGAGACAGCTCTTGATTCAGATCTTGTATTGTAGTGCAAAATACAATTGACTCCATTAAAGAAAATGAAACTGTACTGCAGCAAACTGTGTGTAAAATCAAGGAGAGACATTCTAGATACAATGAAAAAAAGGCTATTTAAAGCAAGCATGGAAAAAGCCTTCTCATTTGGTCTTTAAGAGGTGAAGTTATATTGTAGCCTTGTTCAATCTAACTTCTTAATACAAAAGAGCCATAGGTCCCAGGTTAAATTAATGTTATTTTTTATTTCATCAGTCAGAAGGCAGGTGTATGGGATAAAATTTTTGTTACAAATCACTTGAACGTAGAATGGTTTGGTAGGACAAATGTGAGGAAGTGGACTGCATCATACTGTCATTTGAGGAATCAACAAGACACTTTGTTATGAATTACGCTCTTAAAGTCACATGCAGTTCGCTTTAGGCTGGGGCAATGATCATGCTGAGCAAGTATCCAAAGTCAGATACTGAATCTTTATTTGCTGCAGCGAGGTGCCTCTGAAGAGGGATCCCGCCTACTAGTTATGATACTATTTTATACCTTGTTAGTACGTCAGCATTACTTCGTGATTAGCTTTTGCTTTTAAGAATACCCAATCATTGACTAATTAAACTACTACTCTATCCAATCAGGTGGCACTATGTGCGTGAACACTGAAGTTTAACTCTCGTGACTGAATATTTCATATATTTTTGCCAAGATGTATCTTATCTTACAAAAACAATTCTTGCACGGCTTTCAAGGTTCCTCTGTTGACTGGATTTAGCTAGTTTCATATCTTATTAGTAACCCTTTACACAGCACTTCTCCTTTTACTCATCTAGTATGTGCTGTGTCTGCTTTTATGTATTGAGGTTAAAGGTAAAAGAAATGGCCTTACTTTTATATTGCAAAATCCACACACAACAACTTCATGACCCCTGTGATATACCTTGAAGCCATCAGTCTATTTAAATGCCCCTAAGCAGCCAGTTTTAAAACTTTAGGGATAATGAGTTTTAGGGTGAATATACAGGGTCCAGTTCTTCACTTGGTTAAATTTGCAAAGCTCCATTGTTTTACAGCTGTACTATGACCTGTAAAACAGACCTGACTGAAATCACAGTGATATTTTATTGCCACTGTGAAACTACTTGAATGGGCACCTGAACAGATGAGAGTGCAAATATGGTATTCTAGATTAGAAAACCATCTTATGACCTGAATGCTCCCACTTCCATCAGCTGAGCCCCTTCTGCCTGACACAGATACTGGCACTGCCTCAGTTTCCCCTTGGCACCACAGAAGGTTAGTTGAGGGATGCAGGGAAGATGAGGGATTTCACCCTTGGTTCTCCTATCTGTGATCCATCTCCTATAAGCCACAAATTATGCAATACCTTCTAAGATGCTGACTTCTAGGAGATGGACAACGTGCAAGAAATCTGGCAGATTTGGCCCACAGCATCCAATAATATTTGTTGGAGAAAACTGGGAGAAGACTATTTCAAAATGATCCATTTAAAAATTTTAAAAAAACGAACCCAAAACAGTGCAAGTACATACCACATGCTTCAGAGTACATCATGCTAGTGAGCACTGTTTCTTAAGCACTGTTGTCAGTAACCCTATGCCAACATTTGTTTGCTATGGGAATGATGACTCACCTGTCTTACTAATATTGTGATGATTTGCCTGATACATTAGGTTTTGGGATTAAATGTATCACCACAGTGACTGTCAGGTGGAAGATGGGGCGCAGATAGAAGTTATGTTTACCACATGATTGACCCCCTGAAAGTGGTCTACAGCCATGCTGTGACACACATGTAAGGCTGCAGAGTGCTTTTAAGGTGGCTTATCATACGTCAAATTAACCCTCATCAATGAGGGATCAGATGAAGGCACTCCATTTTGGGCACCTTAGGGAACTTGTGTTTCCTAGGATTAATTTGTGGCATGATCAGGGCTGGGCTGGTGCGGAGGAGGACAAACAAATCAAAACAATGATAAAGCCCTATGGAGCTGAGGAGGAAAAGAGAGATGTCACATGTATTTATGCTGTCCACCGACCTCTAGTTGTACAAAGAGGACTTAGGGTTCATGTTTGTAATAATTGTAAGGCATTTGCACTGATGTTACAAAACTAAAAAAGTGGGAAGCAAGATGTTTTTCTTCAGAACAAGATGTGTTTAGAGGATTAGAGGGGGAATGTAAATGATTCCTGTTATGCTTGTCACTGCCACTACTAATGCCCATTTCCTTGTAAGATATAATGTTTCAATTAATCTTCCATATAATATACAGTAGGAGGATCTTTGTCATGTTTACATTTCCATCCCGAGCTAAAGCAAAATCTGGCCTTTTACTGGTTTGGCTGTTCTTAGAAACAATCCTACACCTGGGATGATTTATTAGGGGTAATATTAGAACACAGAAAATATTCTCCCTAAAAAGCATTACACTTAACCTAGTTGATATGTTCATCTATCATGTTCATTTAGGTCTGTTTTATGGTGGACTCTGTATTGCTATGGCTGCTTTGGCATCCCTGATGGGAGGTTTGTTGCAGGTGGGTAATGGCTTTTCATCTCTGTGTTATGCTATCTAGAATATATCATTTGAAAGAACAAAACATCAGCTACTTGAATTGTATTAAATTTAAATTCTTTAATGGGAACTTACCTTGAAAATTCTAGTGCCAGATTGTCAGCAGGTATAACCCAAGGTAGGTCACCAGTAGCAGTCTGTCAGTTAACACCTGGTGAGAATTAGGCCTTGAGGTAGCCTTGAACCCTTTATTCCAAGTACTTTGTTTTTGTCCCCCAACACCTCATGTGTCCTATTGAGGGTTTCAGTTTTATGGTGTGATACCTAATACAAGATTTTATTCTTTTCTCAGGCAGCTCTCAGTATTTTTGGCATGGTTGGTGGCCCTCTTCTAGGTCTGTTTTCTCTGGGAATCCTTTGCCCCTTCACAAATCCCCTGGTAAGTTCAAGTTCTGAGTCTTACAAAATTCAGTCATCATTTGGAGAGGGTTAGGCATAGTTTTCCCCAAGGAATTGCTTTATTTCATGGAAAATGTTTCAATTTGTCATTTTTCTATGCATAGCGGAAGAATAGTTGGGGTTTTTCCATATGTAGTACCCTTCGGATGTAATAAGTAGGGAACTGGAATATCTGTCATATGGTAGATTTTGCATCTCTGAATCTTTTTGTTTCATTCTCAGTTGGAAAGAAAATGTGGAGATGTGACATTTCCCACAATACAGAGATAATTGGAAAATTCTGTTTCAGAAGAACTAGAGGACCAGGCCAGACCCCAGACAAGTAGCTGTAGTGTTAACCACGTGAAGGCCAGAAAACCTTTTTGCTTAATAAGTGGGCAGGATGGGGAGCCAACCACCTGGGGAGCCCACCCACCTGCTCACAACATAGGGAACCCAAGCAGCCAATCAACCTGGGAACCAACTACTCAGCTGTGTAGATGGCCTGGGAAACCAGCTGGCTTGAGAGCAGGTTACCCTTGTAGTGTGCCAGGAAGAAAGGATGACTAGGGATTTCAGTGAGGCAAGCTGAGCATGTTCTTCTAAAAGGTTTTGATTCCATCAAATCAATATTTTCTGGTGGAAAACTGTTTGTTAACATTTTCTTATCAGCTTTAGTAAAATAAGGTTAGTAACTTAGTCTGAAAAGATTGTTAATAATGGTAAGATGCACTAATTAGTTATCTTTCCTCTTTACTTACCTGTCCTTGTAGAATTACTATGCTGTGTACAAAGCAACCAGAAGAAAGCAATTGTTGTTACATCACAGAACAGTAACATTTGTCCCATAGTTATAGTTTAAACTAAGTTTCCACTAGTTAGTTAATTTTGGCTAGCTCCTCCGAAATCCACAAAAAGTGGTTACATTTAAAGGGTAAATATAATGGTATTTTTTTTTCTAAACCGAAATGAATTAGACATTGGGCTCCTGAATGAAGATATCATGTGTAGGACTCCTGGTTAACACCTGAAGTCTAACTTTTTTCTGCTTTGTAGCAAAAATCACAGAAAGTAGGGAAAGTTATTTCATTGGATTTCCCGCAGCTGACATTAAGGGCTTGATAAGAGTGTAATTTCAAATATGAAGTATTTGAAACACCTCTATAACTTGGAAAAACATTGTAGGTTAAATTCATCACTGTTCAGAGAACCAAGAGCAATGCTTTCTTAAGCCCCAGTTAATCTCCAGTGAGTTCTTATCTGGAGTAGAAACATAAATTCTCATTGATTGTAAAGGGTGTAGAAGCCTTTTTTGTACACCAGGCTCTGGCAACCAGGAGTACTTTTAAAACTACTTCACTTCAATTTCCTAGGTCTAATATTCTTGTTCAGATCTTGAAGGCAAATTCATGTCTTTGGGAAAGACAAGTGGGGCCTAAGATGGGTTTCCCAAAGTGGGGCCTGTGAACTATTTGTTCATGGCCTGCAAAGGATTTTTTATTTTTTTAAAGATGACTGTCCTTAACAGAATTAGGTGACTAGCAAGGCTGAAGCCATTTACTGTTCAGAATTGTAATCAACAGACAGATAGGAACAGCCCGGTACTTCACCTTGTTGTAACTTGGATCTATAAGGAATATTATGTTTCATCTATCTGAACATAAAGGTATTGCATTGCAGCCTCATTTTGTTATGTGCCCCCTACATCATGTTCCACCCTTAAGGGGTCCTCCACGAATAAAACTTTGGGAACCTGTGCTCTAACAAAATTCTTCATCTTCAGGAAAAACACCAGGGGGAAAAACAATTGTGAATTTTCTGCATGTGCTCTAAGGAGGATGTTCAAATAAAATATTGGCAGAAGTACATTTAAAAAAAAAGATTTATCTCAATAAAACAAAAAACATTTCTGCCTTCATAGACCCTAGCTGAACAGAAGATTTTTGAAGTGACAGGCTAAGATTAAAAAAAATAGTTATTCATACTTGGGCCTCACAAACAAGTTAGCATGAGGTATGTTATGCACTGCACATGAGCCATTCTGTAGTAAATAACTGTGCATAATTTTCCCCCTTCTATTTGACTTTCACTGCATTTACCATGGGGTACACGTATGTATGTATGTACACTGGCATTTGCCATGGAGTGGATGATGCCCAGTAAGTGCACACGCTAATTTACCATGTACACATACCTTAGAGTCAAGTACCATGTTTTCTCTCATGTAACACACAACTTTTTCATCCAAACCAACTGATGAACATTGGGATGTGCATTATATGCGAGGAAACTAGGTCCCCATGGGTCCAGAAATTTTGTGGTGGAGGATTGGTACCAGCATTAATAGCCGTAGCTCTTGGAACCATAGCAATTAACACTGCCACCGCTCTCCCACCACCAAATTTCCAGACCCATGGAAAACCCCTTGGCTGGATGACATGGCCCCATGTGCTGGATTGGGGTGGTGAATGGTGTCAGGCTTGGTACATGAGGTTGGACCTGGCAGCCCCAAACCCTGTGCATGGGGTTGGACTTGGCACATGGCCCCAGGCACAGCTCATGAGGTTGGACGTGGCATACTGGGCGCATCTACACATGATGCTATGTCACTGTAGCAATGTGCTATGGTGACGTAAAAAAATGCGATGCCACTACTACATTGCCGTAGCAACGCACTCCCTCGATATAGCGTGTTGCTACAGTGACATAGGGGCTAAAAATAACTGTGCACTGCTGGCACGGAGCAGCATGGGTTGTTACTGTATTTTCATGTAGTACTTTCAAAACAATGGCACTGTAGGGCACATGTAGATGCACCCACTGGGTCAGACCTGGTGCATGGGGGTGGTGAGAGGGCCCCAGCTGGTGTGCAGGGTGGCAGGAGTCTCACCTCCCTAGCTACTGCTACTCAGTTTCTACCAAGAAGAATTTTTCTTCATCCTGCTTCTCAAAGACAAGTTAAATAAAGATGGGTGTATGCTGTATGTAAGAAAATACAGTATTATGGTATCTAAATAAAGTGGCTTGATTTTCAAGTATTGCATACTCAGTAAGCCCATTATGAAACTTAAGCTGCTGAAATGGAAAACTTTGATGCTTTTTTTCTTTTTCTTTTTGTGCATCTCTTGTGTTTCTCTCATTTTGTAAGTAAATGAACTTTCACTTTGTTTTTTTTGCAGGGCGCATTTATAGGCCTTCTAAGTGGCTTCGTTGCATCTCTCTGGGTTGGAATTGGAGCTCAGATTTATCCTCCTCTCCCTGAGAGGACTATGCCATTAAACCTTACAACTATAGGCTGTGAGACAGAAACATTAGGCAACTGGACTGCAACAACGGCGATGCCAGTTTTAACAACACTCTCACATGCTCCAGTCACAGAAAGGTATACAACAATGCTGGCATGTGAAGCATAGCACATGTCTGATTTGAAGTGATGTGAATGTCTGTCTAGCAGTTTGGTTATTTAAGAAATCCTCCCTGGGTTAAGTTACTTTTCTACTTGGAAGAAGCCACATTCTCTTTTTTGCTCCGCAGGGATGGTATCTTATCCCAAATCCACAGAAGTCAATGCAAATCCTTCTGTTGGTTTCAGTGGGCTTTAGATTAGAACCAGAGTCTGACAGTCCTACATTGGGAAGTAGTTTACTTATGCATTTTCCATAGGCACAGGGGACTGCTGTGTTTAGTGGATTATTTACCATGATCAAAGTTCTGTTCTACCATCAAAGCAGGTCAAATCTGAAAGCGTGTAGGGTGGGGTTTACATGCTCTTGGTAAATCTTCCAGTAACAGTTTGTTCAGCAGCATCAAACCTATGCAGAAATAAGTAGCTGCATTCAGCAAAATCAGGAGAATTAGTGGAGCTGGGAAAAATGCTGTACCCCTCCCACAGCCATCATAGCCTCTTATACAATGTTAATGTACAGTGAAAAGATTTAAATGAAATACATGGAATTCAACAGAACAATAGCTGCAGGGACAATGGTTGGGTTAAAAATTCCAAGTGTCAATTCTTATGTCTTGGTATAGAATTAGCAGTAAGCCAGAGACTCCTTTTGTTAGCTGATCTGCTACGAATAGTTGCTTAGAGTTCAAGGATGGCTGAGTAGTTTCTATTTTACTTCTCACATGGAATATAAAGTTTCAGAGAATTAAAGGTAAATTTTTCACCTCCCCCATAAATCTCAGTGCCAAGTATGCACCATTGACTGGTTATGTTTTGATGATATCAGTATAAATACATGGCCAAGAACTTTGATCAGTGTCCCTCCAGCTGTGGTGTGTAGCAAAGAGACTCAAAATAGGATAGCAGAAGCCTTGGACTTGTGATTCTCAACCAGGGTGCTGTGGTACCCCTGGGCTGCCATGAGATCCTCGTAAGAGTGTTGTGGGGTACCACTCAGTATTATCACTATGAGGTGTGCATGATTCATAAGATAAACCAAAAGTTTTGCTTAGAGTTCCTAGTAGAAACACAAAAACTGCTTGTTTCACTGACTGTGCCGCATTCTTACACCTTACAGCCCAGACTCCTCCCCAGTAAGTAAACGACTTGCAAGATTAAGTGCTTTTTAAAAAAAATGCATATGAGTGTATCTGCAAGTTTAGCATATAGGTTGTTATTTTTAAAGTGTTCTCAGCACAGCATTCTCCTTATGTTATTTATTGTCTCTTTTCATAGCTTTATTTTTTCAGGTTGTCCGAGAAAAAAAACCCAACTTGTGTTCTCTCCCTTTTTCTAGACCGGTTCTAGCTGATCACTGGTATTCCTTGTCCTATCTGTACTTCAGCACACTTGGGACTCTGGTCACAATAGCAGTGGGAATAATTGTCAGCCTTTTATCAGGTATCTTTGCTAGAGTTTGGGTTCAAGATGCATTTAAATTCTTTCCTGAAGTAATGTGAACTCTCCACAACCATGCTAGTAGAAATTTCATGAAGGTTTCCATCCTAATCCCCTCTTTTAATTCACTTTTCTCTTGGGCTGAAATTTCACATACTTGGTATCTGCTTACAGGTGAGATTTCTTTCCCCTCTGAAGCATGAGGAAGCAGATTCAGCTGTTTTTGAGCTGAGGAGATGGGGTGGGGAGATACAATATATTTTTTCCATTTTATTAAGTCTTAGCAGGGGCAGGGGTTTGACAGTTGTCATTGAACATGCAGATAATCCTGACAGAGGAAATATGCCATTCTTTCCTCCTGAGGGCAAAAGCTTTGAGCAAATTTAAAATGTTAGAGAATGATTAACAGTGCTCATTTTCACTTAATTTGCTAATCACGCACATAAGGAATGACTCACTCTGTATGGCTACCTTAGTTGCCCACTGAAATAGCTATGGAGCCTGAGGGCAAGCAGGACAGTTTACAGCTGAGCTCAAGATCCAGACCTACTTCTTGTTTTGTTCTCAGGCAAATCTAGTCAGGGCCTATTATCCAGTTTGCACATGGCTGAAATAGCACAGAAACAGCTCATTTCACATTTCCAGGATTTAAGTGAGAGTCTCATGAGAACAGGTCACAAGATTTTGGGGCTGTTGCTTCCTAGATTGTATTTAATCTAACTTGAAGTTTAAACCTAGTATAGAGTTGAACACTGTCTCTTCAGTCCCCTCTAAGGTGGCATATATTTGACCCATTGTAGGAAATGGTTTTCATGAGATTCTTGTATGTAAGACTTGAAGGAGAATATGCTCAGCTGCATTAGTTTTTCCACCTTCCCTGTCTCCCTTTCACTCCCTTCCTCCAACCCAATATCCCTCAAACATTTTCTGGAGTCCCTGGGAACTATCTGTCATTCCTCATGTTTCAGAGTATGACAGCAGTCCTTAAGATAAGGATGTAGGAGACTGTACACCCAGCTTTCTCCTCAAACTATTGACCATAGAAATCACTGCAGTATAACATGGGACAACCCCTGTGGTTAAGAAAGTTGCCACTTGGGGAGTGCAGGACTAAGTGTGAGCCTCAGACAGAGGGTACTAACAAAAGTGACATTGTGTTGCATGAAGTGCTCAAGAGCTGTGCCCTGACAGAACTGCATGGCTGCAGGGTGCTTCAAAAGTGTACAGTCACACAGCAAATGAACCCTCATTACATGAGGATTCAGGTAAAGTGGCTCCAAATTGGAGTGCCTTCATTAATGTCTGTCAGCAGGGCTGGGCTGATGCAGCTGAGCTCTGCCCCTGCCTGGTGCTGTCTTCAGGATGGAAGGGGGGAGAAGGGAGGGGAGGGCACTCTTGCTCAGCCTGCAAGAGTGGGTGGGGTGGGTGAATTGGAGCCCCCAGAGTGGAATGCTCCAATCCACCTGCTCCACCCTCCAGCTCAGGCTCAGGCTGAGCAAACCCCAACCCTGCTCCCATCCTGAAGACAGCACTAGAGCTTGCAGGGGTGGGGAGCAGGGCAGGACTAGCAGAGAGTAGCAGCTGTCATGCAGCCAGGTCAAGGGGACTGCTGGCAGGCAAGATTCTTTGAGTAGATGTGATATCTTTTATTAGACCAACTGAGTAGTTGGAAAAAATTCTTAGCAAGCTGTCAGGTGCAGTCACCCTTCTTCAGGCATAGGGACTAACACGGCTACAACCAAAAACCCAGCAAGGGGATTGCTGTAATTCATAGTGCTTCCTGTAAAGCGGGGAGCTGCACGTCTCTCAATGCCCTCAATTCCTACAGACGGTAGCACTTTGGGCTACTACTACACCATCAGGCTGGTTACAGATACTGAATGTTACACAAAATGTAGGCTCTTTCTGCTGTTTTTGGTTAGCAGATACTTGATTTTTTTTCCTCTTCTGACACAAGAAGCATGCAACTAGAGTATGTCCCTAAGGGACAGATATCACAGGGATAGTTAACAAGCTTCCAAACACAGGCCCGGCATCTTTTATACTCCGGAACCTGACAGATCCAAGTGATACTGGAATATGTGGCTGATGCAACCTGAGGAAACAGCTTGTAATTGCTTTTTGCTGCTGCCTCTACCCAGGGCATCAAGACCGGGCAAGATCAGGCAATTAGAATTTGGCATACTGTTATCTGTAGAATAAGAGGTACCAGGTTAAAAACTGTTTAATAGAAAATTTAATACTGTGCCTATTTTGCAGGAGGAAGGAAGCAAAACATTGACCGTAAATTCCTGCTGACCAAAGAGGACTTCCTGTCCAACTTTGCATTTTCTAAACCTGAGAAAGTAAGTATTGCTATGTGCAGCATCCTACTTTGCCTCCACCAGGTCTTCACTCCTGGAGAATGGATACAAATTTACCAGGGGTTACATTTTCTAAAAAAAAAAACAGTTTTATCGTTTAATCACTCATTGATCCAGGTTCTGTTCTTTCAACTTGGTCCTCTACAGAGGTCAGCCTTGGTCACCACAAACATAGAATGTACCCAATAAACACCCTCTAAGAAGAAACATTAGCTCTAATAATGTAGCAAAATTGGAGTCGGAAGCCAAAATCCTTCAACAAAGCTTTCCCAGGGGACTAAATTTTGTCTTTATACTTTTCCTACCTGTCTGGCTGGCTGGCTGACAGTTTGTCACGACTGCTTCATTTAAGCAGCAGCTGTCCACCAGATGGGGTCAGGGTAAAGAGGCTGGTATCTATATCTGGCCACAGCAGCAGGTGTCTGACTTCAGTGGGTAGCAGATAAAAGAAAGAACACCTGCTCTCAGAAGTTCATCATTCTGCTAGGGCACTCCTAGGTAACCTCTCAGAATGGGGTACATAGGCTGCTCTGAACACTGAAGTGTCCTTTCATAGATAAATGTTAGACTTTTTTTCTCTTTTTAAATTACTAGCTACAGCTTGAGGGGAGTGGGGGGGAAATTCCACACCATCTGTACAGTCTAAATGACAGCTGCTCTTGCAAAAAATTAAATATCTGGAAGAAGTGTTGAATAGAATGGAGACAAACCTCTTAAGAATAAAATCAGATTACGGTACTAAAGATCAATACTTCTTAAAGAAAGACTACCTTGCTGACTGCCACATTTGGCAGTGCTATGCTAGTTCATACCTGTTGCACAGAAATAAACCAATAACATCTTCATCTCATATCCATGAAAGAATTAGACTTTCCACAGTCAGTAGAGAATGCCTTAACTTACTTACCCCGATCATGGAGGGGCAGCTCCTTTACTGGTTTAAACTGACATACTTCCATTGACTTTAGTTGAGCTCCAGCAACTGATCTAAGATGGCCATCTAGGCCCCAGCCTCTAGAAACTGTTGTGACCCTTCACTCTTATGATAACCCCATTGAAAGTGACTGGTCTTCACTGTGAGGCGAGTGTTGTCAATTTGGCCCTCCTAAGTTAGAATAGGTTTTATTAAGACCGCCGTTACAGTGATATGTTATTTTCCCAATGCACTGAGTTAAAAGTAAAAGCAAAAGATGCTACACTGGGTGTCACATGGCAATAGTTTTTTTTAAAATGATCCAGTGTCCAGACCTTTTTCCTGTTGTGAAAACCCTTTGTGTTTAAATGTTGCACATTTTGGAAACTAAACATGTGTGACAGGGAAAGATTTTTTAATAGATGATGCATGTGATTCATCCATTTAGAAACCATGGGCCAGATGCTCAGTTGAAATAAATAAGGGGTGCTCAACCTCTGGCCTGTGGGCCAAATATGGCCTGCAGAGCCATCACATCTGGCCCATGGGGCTCCCCATAAGTATGGAAATTTGGCAGCCACGAGGCAGTGGCAATTGATATTGCCACCCTCTCCTCTACCAAATTCTCAGACTCAAAGCCCCATGCAGTGGGTTGGAACCAGGCCAGGTTCTGGACCTGCTCCCTTCCCCCCCACAACTGAGTTGGACTGGGCCGCACCCCCTTCCTCCTAGAGACTGGATCAGGGCTGGGCCATGTCCCCTTCCCCTCCCCCTCCCCACCACATTTGGAGGACTGGGCTGGGGCTGAGCCATGTCCCCTTCTCCTGGTAGGCTGGATTGGGGCCAGGCTGCTCCTGCCCCCTCAGTGTGGCTGGATGGGGCTTGCTGCACCCATGCTGGTCACCAGATGGGGTCCACTGACTAAACTGAGCCTGTGGGCATTATTCATTTGGTTTGCTGACCAAAAAGATTGAGCACCACTGGTGTAAACTACTGTAGGTTCATGACTTTAATACACCTCCCCCAGATCAAACCACTTTAGGATGTGCTCCTCAGCCAGTGGACAGAGTGCACATGGAAACTCATGCCTACAAATTAAATGGGCAGGATAACTTCTGTTTGTTCTCAGATATAAGTATCTGCCTTGTATAGGTCAATATGGCTGGTGAGTTGGGGAAAGGATGCTTATTAATGCACCAATCTAACTTGAGAAAAGAAGTGGGGGTGATTTCCATTCTGCCTGAGCAACAAGGATCTTCAGTTTAATTCAAGTTAGATTTAATGAAGAGGAATATGTTAAAGCAGGAAAGCCAGAAACCTGATTTTCACTGATGGAATGCAGTTAGGCATGAGGCTTAGCAGACAGCATGTCATGAAACTGGGATGACAAACTGCTATACAGTATTGCTGTTATTTGCACACAGAAACAATGTCGGATACATTTTGAATGACAATAACAATGCTCAGATTGAAACCCACTCATCCTCTTCATATATGAAGAAACATTCTAAAGATTACTGTGAGCATCAACTTACAGGTTTTTCTGCAGTCTACTTACATTTACATTTTCTACCTGCTAGGCTAATGCTCAGCTCCAGGTCTGATTCTTCTTCCACGCCACTACAATTCTCTTGACTTCAGTACAGATATTCCTTATTCACACCAATTTATAGTAGGCCAATGATAGAAAAGAACCCTACTGAGAGAAATGGGCTTTGGAGGTATTTGGCCCTCAGGAAAGAGAACAAAAGGTACTCTTCTTCTCCTGACATAACTCAGAAACAAAGCAGAAGTAGGTAAATAAAGGACATAGTTGCTTGGCATTTATTTTTAAAATAAATGTTCTTGCTCCACAAAATCCCCTTAAATGAGGCAAAGTAAAATATGCTGCCTTTGCTCTTTGCAAACTCTATTTTCTTCACTGTAAAGTCGAACTGTCCACCCATCCTATCTTAAATCAAAACTAATAAAATTGTGCTGTCCCTGAATTTGACTAGTAACCCTACTTCCTTTTTAGCTTTGGCTTTTATTTGAAAAATGTAAGGTGGGGTTGTAATAAAAAATGAAAATGTTTAAACTAAAACTTAAAAAAAAATTAAGGGACTATAGCTCATTTATACCTAAAAACTAAATTCATATGCACCTTGAGACCCCACTATGCTGTCAGCATTGTGCAGTAGGACCTTGGGTTATGTCTGCCTGCTACAAGGGAATGCCACACCGAGGTATTCTAAGGCAGTTGTGACTGTGCCATCTCACGTACTGGAATCTACATGATGCAGGGCAGCACATACAGAGATGTGTGAGCCACCCCAGTTTGTTCTAGCCCTTATACTGGAACCTGTGGATCTGTGCTAGTGCAGTGTTGTACCCAGGCTATGAAGCCCTGGTTCTCAAAAGAGGTCATTAACCTAGGTGTGTGAAGAAGTATTTTGGATTGCTATGCCTGACTACTCTGTGCTGTGTAGACATGCCCTTAGTCCACACATGTTGGATTTTGAAACACAAGTAAGTCCCATTAAAACTCATTGGGACTTAGGGTCTTGACACAGTTAGGTGATCTTGCACTTTTCTCAGTGGTAGCAGATGAAAACAAGGAGCAATGGTCTCAAGTTGCAGCAAGGGAAGTTTAAGATAGATATTAGGACAAACTCTCTCAGTAGGAGGGTAGTAAAACACTGGAACAGGTTACCCAGAGAGGTTGTGGACTCTTCATTCTTGGAGATTTTTAGGACCTGGCTAGACAAAGCCTTGGCTAGGATCACCTCACTGGGGATGGTCCTGTTTTTAGCAAGGGGTTGGACTAGATGACTGTCTGAGATCCCTTCCAACCCTAAGTTTCTATGATTTTCTGTGATTCTATGTCTCACCTAGTAAAAAACACTTAATACATATTTTAAAACTTCTTTTTCTTTAACCTTCTCCCCTACAATGTCAGAAACACCATACTTCCTCCAACTTCCTCCTTGTTCCATTTACCCTTTTCCTGGGTTTCACTCTTATGCGTTTCCTTTGAAAACAATTAATGTTCACTGACATGTTTTGTAGCCTCATTGTAGTAAATAGTGTATCTGTGGTCTGTGCCACATTTACATTAAGAAGAAAAAGATAAAGTTTCTCAACTGTGAGAAGATTAGAGAAGTGATGCATCCTCTTGAATTAGGCATTAGGCAAAACGAGGCCAAACCTAAGATTATGGAAGATAGTTTAGGGGAAATGTTTAGCAGGCATCAACAGGGATAATATGTGTGTGTGTGCACACATACATGCAATGCATATGCGGGTGTGTGTGCATGTGTAAGAGAGAGTAAGAGAAAGATACTTTGTACCTAAGAACATCACAATATAAACTCTTTTTCAGAAGGAGAAAGTGGAAGTTTTGAACTGGAAAGTTCACAATCTGGCAGATGAAGGAATCGACAATCCTGCTTTCAACCATATTGAAATGAATTTCACAGACAATAAAGAGAAAGTCAATGGCATTCATATATGACCTGGTGCCATGGAGCTCTTACCTACAAACACTTTAGTTGCTGTGTTGAAGACATTGCTGGCATTTCTGGAAATAATTAATTTACCTACCATACCTCTGGTTATATGCAAGAATCCTTACCATGCTCCATGTCTTCACCACATTGGAATAACGTTAAGATTAAGAAGAACTTCAAAACAAGGAATCAGGTGTCTCTTATGTAAGTGGCCTTTAATGCAGGAACTCAGAGATTTTCTGTATGAAATCATTTTTGTGTGGTCTCCTGTAAAAATATTTGCTTTAAATCTCAGTTAATTTTCAGAGTAATATTTTAAAGGAGAACATTAAATTTTCACAGACATGGCTGATCATCTTAATGAGCTGTTCCATACTGAAGCTAGGAAGAGGTCTGTATTTTGTTTTTAGAATGAAGGAAGTAGAATTTAATATTAAAAATATCTTTCCTTGTAGAAGTGCTGACCCTGAGCACCTATTGGCCATTTTTTTATGAAGATAGACATTGCTGCAGTATCTGAGCACCTTGTAGGCAAAGCATTCAACCACAAATATGTGGGGAAGTTGCTTAACCCCATCTCTTCAGCACTGAGGCTGAAGAGCTGGGTTAGACCTCAGAGAGTTTGTTAGATATGTTTAGAGAAAAGGTCCTCCCCCATCCCCCAGCATGCCCTGAAGCACAACAGAGCTGATCAACTCAGGATTTTTGATTATTAGATCAGATTTTTTGCATAGCTTGTAGGGTGTGAAGGAACTCTCTACCTCTTTATACCCACAATGTGTATGATTCCATAGGTTGAAAGTTACAAAATAGTATGGTTTTTTTGCTGTGTGCAGACCTACTAGCATAATTAATGGGCTAATTCAGTGCTTTTCAACTGTGGTCTGCAGACCCCTGGGGGTCTGCAGACTATCCAAAGGGTCTGTGAAAGATGACTATCATCAATCAAAAATATGTGAACACCCACACTTACAATTCAAAGGGGTTTGCACTTCCATTCAAAATTTTCCATAAATGAAAAAAGGTTGAAAATCACTGGGCTAACTCAATGCTGCCTAGCACCTTGGGTAGCAACAATTTACACTTTTGCAAACTGGGTATAAAATGCTACTAAATATGAGCTGTAAGTACAATCACCCAATTAAGTCCAAGCCAGAATAGAACATGTCTAGAATTTTACAGGTGGAAAAACGTCAGTGCTTAATTCTGTGTGAGAGTAAGTGGAATCTGGCTGCTATAATTTACTGAACCCTGCACCTATAAGCTGCAGTACAGCTCAGAAACCCTGTAGCACTGTGCACTGTGGGCCTCCAATTTACCTCCTATTCATTCCATATATACACTGGGGCTTTCAAGGGGAGCAGTATAAGGCCACTTACAGCATAAAGGGAAAGGGGAGTTTGTACAGTGCAGTGGTCTTATTGCTGTTCTGTGGAGGAAAGGGAATTTTCTCTTGTCCCCGTAGCACCTTGCTTTGGCACTCACCTAGAGCAGGAAACAGAATCTGTCCTCCACTGTTTTTGAGCCACCTGGCAGTTTACACCTACGTATTTTGTATAATGCATATTTAAAAATGTATTTTGTATTATATTCTAGGATATTACATTTATGTTGAAAATGTATTTTGTATTATATTCTAGGATATTACATTTATGTTGTATTAGGACAATTTTGGGAAATAAAAGCCATTATAGAACATCCTTTTTGTGTGACCTATGAAGGCACCACCCAGTTAAACTGAGGTTAAAATTCTGACTGTAATTTTAAGATACTTACTAAAATTCATAGTGAAGACAGGCTGAAACAAAAACTGGAAGAACACAGGTCACCTAGCATAAGTGACCCTCATTCCATTGAAGTCAATGGAACTGTGCCAATTTACATAAGCCAAATCTGGCCATTTGTAGTGTTTGCGATCAACCTACTTTATATGTGTGCAGTGACAGAAAATAGCTTAATCATATGAAGCTCCACGAGGGTTAATTATTCTTATTAGCATGCCTCCACTTGTTTTTTTTTTGTTTTGTTTTTTAATTATTGCTGTCCTGGCTTTTCTCTTCAGACCTGAAGAAGAATGTCTTACATTTGAAAAATTGCCTAATTCTATCCTAGCAATACATTTGGTCCAATAAAATATATCATCCAAAGAAATCCTTGCCTCTCCACTGATAAAGAAATAGAACATCACATTTATAAGCAGCTCACATGTAGTACATCTTAAAAATTAACTCTTAACATGGCACTTTTTATTCAAAGATGTGAAGGAAGGAAAGTCTCTATTTTCCAAAGAGAAGTGAGGCATGATGAAGTGATTTTTCCAGTCGTCTAACAAATCAGTGGTAGGCTTGGAGTAGAAACCGAGTCTCCTGTATTCCATCTAATGACTCAAGTAGCAATACTGCTTGTTTAGAAATGTTGGGCACTTTTACACATACTCTGGGAGTGATGGGGAGCAGCACTTCAATTAGAGCAGCTCCAATAGCCACTCCAATTAAAGCGCCACTGTGCCTCCTGTTTCAGCATCCCTGTGCTGGAAAATGGTGGTGGGGGTCACTTGAACTGAAGCTTGCTTACTTTGCCTCTGAAAAATTGTGCCTAATTCAAGTTTATTGCCATTTAAAGCCTCCTGTGTAAATGATTGTGCCACATCTGTTTTGATGCAAGTCATATCCTGGACCAATCAGCACCGTATTAAAACAGTTGTCTATTTTTAGCCCCAAATATTATCAATGTGCACTTCATTGTATTATTCTATATTTAGATAAATGTTTGTATTTTATCTGATACTTGATTAAACTGTTGTGGGTCTCCTTTGACATTATTCTTTCCTCATGGAGTCATATTTAAATCAAACTATTTTATATGTGTGTGTGTGTATTATATGTATACACACAATATATATATATATTAAAGGGGTACAGTGTCACAGTTTTTTCCTTCAGTTTTGTGGATTGAAATACCTTAAGCATCGCAAGCCTCAATCAAGCCTATGCCACTGCTCTTCCCAGCAGTAACATGGGGAAGGCACCCACCCCTGCTGCTTTTCCCTGCCACAGCATGGGAAGCAACTGCTCTCAGAGCTCCACACTGCTGAATGCAGCAGAAGCTCCATGTCCCTCAGCTGGATCTGGCCCATGGGCCGTGGGTTGATGATCCCTGTCTGAAGCCGATAATCTTGTGGCTTAATGCATTTAAGTCTTTACATGACACAAAGCTAGGGTTTCAGTCAAATAATCTCCATGGACCCAATGTTTAGGTTGCTAGATCAGAAGCAGATGATGCAAAACAGTTACAAGAAGGCTGAGGACATGGATCTGAAGACTTTACACATAAAGGACATATACCAAAAATTCTGTACAACAATAATAATGCCCTTGCAGTGCTTGTGGCCCTGATTCATCTGCCCTTTTCACTTACAATAATGCCTGTGAATGAATTAATACTACATTAAGTTGGACATTTTCTGTATTAGGATACCTGATTTATGGTGTAAGCCTGGGACTTGTTTATTCCTGTTCTTATGTAATTACTTTAGCAAAGTACTTGCAGGAAAGTCAAATTAAGAATAGGTTATATTTTTTCAGGGGTAGTTGGGATGCTAGAAATGATATTGTAAGGGATAATAGAAAAATCTTATTTAAGTTACAGCAGGTAGAGAAATCCATCAGAGTAGAGGAAATATGAACTTGTAGAAATCCTAACTGCTTCTTTGGGATGGTTTCCAGTCCATTGATCTGGAGCAGATGCCTTGGCCTTGAAGAGATACACATTTGGGACTGTGCATGGGTCCATGGGGTACCTGGTTTATTTCTAGTAGGCTCCTATGGGTTACTTCTGGTCAGTGGAATAGCCATTTCTTTTCCTTGCATTTCTTGTACTTATATTAATGGACTGATTGATTGTAAAATAGCTGTGGTCAATTTTTCTCCAGGATAATGTCCTGTCCTCTGCTAGGTCTACCACATCAGGCAGTTTTGCCTGGGTAAAGATAGCAGGCCTTTAACCGGGAGGTCATGACTTCCTTCTTAAAAGATTTTAATCAGCATCTATTACAGGGGTAGGCAACGTTTTTTGGCCGGAGTGCTGAAAACACAATGTCTACCTTGGAAGGTGCTGGAGTGCCGACATGCTGGAGCCTGGAGCAGCTGTTTGCAGCCTCCTGGCTGCAGCCGGCCCCTGGTTTGCTTGCAACAGGGCTTGCAGCCTCCCAGCCGCCTGCTCGGAGCAGCCTGGGCTCCGTGACTGGCAGCAGCTGCTTAGAGCCCGGGCTGGCAGTGGTGTGCTGAGCAAAATGGTCCTGCTTGGCATGCGTGCTAGGGGTTGCTGACCCTTGAGCTATTAAATTAATGGAAATCAAGAGAACACAACACCTTCCAGATATCACTCAGATTTCTGTGGGACCAATCTTTTCTATTGGAAACACAACAGGAACCCAAAGGTAACACAGTGGAGTCAGGAAAAGAAAGGGTTGACAGGTTTTGGTTATTTTTTTGCTTCTTTTATGTCCTATTTACATCCCACCCCAAACTAGGGAAAAATAAAATGACTTACTAAGGCCCAACAACAAAGATTTCATATGCATAATTTATTTTAAAGTTTATTGCATCACATTATACAAGCGTTAAACATGGCTTTATGCTGATGATGGTTTTTTGTTTTAAGTGTGAAAATTCAACATTCTTCTCCATAGGATTTTTTGTTCTTTTTGCTATTTACAAATAAACAATCTTTCTATATATTATATATATATATATTATATATATATATATGGTACATAACATAAGTTCCCCTCAGAAAGATCTGAAATAAAAAAGAATTGAATTGTAAACAGGGTTTCAGTTGTATTATTTGGTGGCTTGAAAGTAGGTGGTGGAGTTGAATTAGGCATTTTTTGTCAAAGTATCCAGGTTCTTCATATACATGTATTATTCTAAGATCTGTAAAACCAACATGGGACAGAATGCAAAAAACGTAGCAAACAGGCTGAAAAACAGTCCTAGTATATAATATTTCCTTGGTTTTAAAAACTTGAGTATAATTGCCCATGAACTACATGCTCGCTCTGTTGAGAATGATCTATGGATATCAATCATACACTGGACTGCAAAACAATTTCACAGTAAATCCTCTGAAGTGTACTGACCTGCTTGGCTATGTAAAATGTCTGTGGCATGCATTGAAATTGCATTTATTTTTCCCATTCTCTTGAAGGTAGTGCTCTTGTGAAGCTGGAAATAGTAAAACAGAAAACAGGTCCATCACCTGAAGGTTTAAAAAAATAATATATATATATGAGTGCTTCTTATCTGATAGATATATAGATATATCAGACAAGAATATCTGATATCTATATAGATATATAGATATATCTATCTGATAAGAATATCTGATATCTATATATAGATATCAGATAAGCACAATCTTATCTGAAATATATCTTATCTGATATCTATATATATATCAGATATGTATATATAGCTATCTATATATAGATACCTATATCTATAGATCAGATAATAAGCACAATACAAGCATACATTTTTCCCCCCAAAGAACTCAGTATTTCAGTTTGTTGTCAGAAGGCTAACATGTTTATTACATATTTTTCCTTTAATATATATTTATATGTATGTGTGTGTATGTATATGTGTAAATTATATATATCAATTTTCAGTGAACTGTTGTATAATATTAGAAAGAACTTTCTCACTAAGAGGGTGGTTAAGCTTGGACAAACTATCCAGAGAGGCTGTGGAATCTCCATTCCTGGACATTTTTAAGAGCAGATCAGACAGACACTTAGATTGGGATGGTTTAGTAAAGGAAGATTCTGCCCTGAATAGAGAATAGACTAGATGACCCTCTGAGGTCCCTTTCCAACCCTACTATTCTATGATTCTATGAAAGGACCCAAGCCTGTAAGACTTAAGCAGTCAAAGATTGGGAGTGGAGAGAGCTCAGTACCTTTTTGGAGGTTCACAGCATCTTACAGGATAAGGCTGAACATAAGCCAACCTTGATGGTTGCCACCTCCACACTGTCAGTTTATGCAAAACCTAAGCTGATAGCCTGGAGTAATTTAGAGTCACGAAAACTTATCAACATGTAGCTGTGTTGAACACTGGTCTCACAAGCAATCAGCTATGATTGTATCCTTGCTTTGCTTTATTTATTCTGGCAGGTTAAACTGCTGAGGTTCTTTAAGAGCAGAAATCAGGTTATGTTGTGGCATGCTGCAATGCAGAGTTAAGAATTTTTCAGATTTAAAATGTCAGTGCAATATCTCACTGAAGGAAGTTCGCATGGGTTAGTATACATATTTAAGACACTGAAGATGCATCTACACGTGATGCCACATCTCCGTAGCAACACACTCCCATATTATAGTGTGCTGCTATAGCGACATAGGGGCTAAAAATAACCGTGCACTGCTGGCACGGCACAGTACGGGCTGTGCCATCATTTGCATAACAGTGTAGGATTTAACTCTGCATAACTCTGTAGGATTTGCATAACAGTGGAAAGTGCTGGTTTTTCAACCAGTAAAGTTGTGTAAAATAATGCCAAAGCCAATTTCACGGAGACAAGTAAATCAAGATGACAGTGATTAGTTTGTATACACTAAATGATAGCACAGTAACAGTGGAGCCTTAGGGACACATGTGATGTTCCCTGATTTCTGCATGACTTATGTTTAATTTTACTACTTGGCAAACATGTTCTAGAAGTGTATCACCCATGGTTTTACAGAGCTTGCACAGCGTATACAACCTAATCACTGTCTACTTGATCTACTTTTCTACATGAAATCGGCTTTTGTATGATCTTGCACAACTTTACTAGTTGAGAAACCAGCACTTTCCACTGTTATGCAAATCCTACAAACAACTTGAGAGGGCAGTTGTGAAACACCAACCCAACCAATTCATGCACATCCAGGGGGGAATTATATCACATAGCTACTGGTTCACAGAGATGGAAATCTCATTCTTTTTTGCAGTGCCCTTGTTCACAGCCTGCTCCAAACAGAACTAACCTCCTCATTCACTCTCCATGGGGTAATATTACTTATAATCTTTTAGGTTTCATGCTTAGTTATCATGGCACAAATTCAATCACCATAGAACAAGTCAGTCCTCAAGTCCTTTCCCAGTCATCAGTAGCCATCTCATATAAGCAAGATTTCAGGTTTTTGCTTGGGCCTAGAGTAACTGATCATGGGACCAACTGTGCCCTTTCATCTCCTCTGTGTGGAGGAGAGCTCTTCCTTAATTGAAGGAACAAGATGGGAGGAAGTGGAGAGTGGGTAGGCTGAAACTGGAAAGGAAAGGGACACACATTGCTGTTCCTACTAAAGTTGAGATCAGGCTGTAAGGATAATGAACCCCTGGCCATATTATCTTTCCTCAAAATCTCTACTCTAGCAATGGCAGGAACCCTCTTGAGTCCCTGAGGAGGCAAGTGCAGCCCTTCCTGTCACTGCGGGGATGGGGAAAAAATGAGTGTTGCCTATGAGACAGTGTGAGAACAAAACTGAGCATCTAAACAGGAAACTTCCTTTGCTTTCCTCAGCTTCCATGGAAATTGTGGGCTTGACTCATGATCTCTAGCGGAGAGAAATCTCATCCATATTGTACAATTGTGAAGGAACTTTGAACCAAACTTATTTTGGCTGATTTTCCTGATTGAACCCAAATTAATATTGTGCATAAGCCAGGACAATTCTGTACAATCATCTTCAGTAGCTTACTTCACATATCTTAGGTAGTACAGCTCCTTTTACTCAGTATGGGCATTTATACATATCCTTTTTCATCCTGCGACATGCTGGAGATCCCCTGCTTTCGAGCAGACTCAATTAATCGAGTCTGCTTTGCATGCGAGCTGATGCACACCCGTGCTGCATCGCTTGCGGTTGTATAAGCAGCACAATGTGCATCAGCATGCAGAAAATGGTGCACTTTTGAACTAAAGCACCTCCAATGTGTTTGAGCTCAAAAATGAGGCATCACCATTTTCTCAGTGATGTACATTTCGCCACTTATACAACTGTGGCAATTGCATGTATAAAAATGCCCTATAATAATACATTTGACCATTTGACTCTGATTCCTATTTTGTATCTTATGGTATTCTACCAGGGCCTATGTCAGCTCCATCTTTGTTTATATTAGTACAGTAAAAGCTATGTTATCTGGCACCTTACAAACTGGCATGCTCTATTAACCGGCATGCCAGTTTGTAAGGTAAAAGCGAAACCAGAAGTGCCCACCGTGGCACTTCCAGTTTTGCCGAGCCCCCAAGGCCCAGACAAAGCAGCCTGCACTGCCAAGCCCCCATGGCCTGGGGCCTAGCAGCCTGTGTGGGACTCCCCTCTCTGTCCCCTGGCATACTGATGCAGCAGGAGAGGCGGTGATGCGGCAGCAGTGCACCGGATGCAGCAGGAGAGGCGGCAGCCTGAACAGGCAAAGACGCCTGTTTGGGCCTCTCAGGTAACTGGCATATTTAGTTATCTGGCACCCCACATTCCCTATGGGTGCCAGATAACAAAGTTTTTGCTGTATTCCTATAGAGCAGGCCTCTGAGCTCTCCAGTTCCTACTTATGCAGAAGATGCCATTTTATATTCTACAGGAATTTTAGTGTTATCACTAGGGAGCAAGAGATGGCAGACTCTTAACAACATTCAAACAGTACATTCTGATCTGTATCACACTACCTGATGCTCATTCGACTGCTAGTCCCTAAGATTTTCATCTTCTTTGGGATGAAGTGGTTCTGGGACCTTTTAGCAGATGAAAGCTGACAACTTTGCAAAAGAATCTAAACCTCAACTTCATCACTAAGTGTTTCTAGTCCTATCAGTTACTAGCTGATGCTTCTATTGGCCAATTCTATTTTCATTACTTGTCTAGATTTGTCACCATGTTATTTTGTAGATAGGATTTAATGACATTTCCTATTTTTAACCTCTTAAAAAGGTTTTTGGAAGGATGTCTTTACAAAAGAACAAGTCAGAAAATCTTGAGCAAATAAGCCCTCTCCCACTATTACTCACTATTAACCTTTTGTTTCTCAATCTTTTGCTTAGACAAAGAGATGTTTGGAACACAGAACATCTTTTGGCTACATGTTGAGCATCTGCTAAATACAGATGGGAGCTTCTTGGGGAAATTGCACTACAAATAATTCTGTGTTATAGCTCATACTACACATTCCTTGCATGACCCGAGCAAAATGCCCAAAGGCCTGATTTTCAGAGGTGTTGAGCACCAGTCAGTCCTCTATGGAAGTTGCAGCTACTTGAAAATGAGGTCCCCAACCGTTCCAGATAAGATTTTCAAATATAGAAAACTGAAGTTAGCCATCCAAAGCATATTCAGATTTTCAAACGTGCTGCACACCTAAACCTTCCAGCAGGCTTCTCAGGGCTCAGACAAATGACTCATTAATACCAACGTGATTTGTATCAGTTTTGTATTCCTAAAGAAAATCAGATTCCGGATACAAGTCTGGAAGTCTGATTCTTAGCCAAGTCCCCTTGGCAGAGAATGCTTTGTCTCTAGCTTTCATGTACTTTATCTTGGCTTATTGTTCTTAGGTTTTGGGAAACCTCTTGACTAAGAGTGATTCCTAGATCAAAATTTGATCTTTAACAGCTGGGATTTGATCCAGTAACTACTTTGAAGATTAGGACCATAACCTTAAACTGGCTTTGGAAACTGATCTGATGGCCAGGGTATACTCACCTTGGCCTACGACTTGGAAAAGATTTAACTTTTCATAAGATCTTCTGCATGATACATTTTAAATAGGCATGCACATGTCAAAATGTACATGTAGCAGAAACTAAGTAGCTCCCATCCACTCTGTGTCTCCCTACAACCCAGTATAGAACATATATGAATTATTTTATAAAGTCAATACAATTAGTGACTTCTCTTAAACAACTTCCCCCTCACCCAATCACGGCCACTCATTGTGATATGATTTTCCATTTTTCTTTCTCTCCTTCCGCTCTTTCTGTAGACGTTCCAGCTCAGCCTCATACATCATTTCCTGAATCAAGTACTTTTCTCTCCTCATCCGATCCCTCAGATCTTTTGGAAGGTCTGGGATTAAATAGGAAATCAGGTGCTTTATGCAAAAGACAAGGTGCTGTGAAAACAAACATTTGGAACATGAATTAAATAAAATTGAAAACTGTAGTAAAATGATTTTTTAAAATTCATTTTAAGAGGAGAGGACAGTCTCTGGTTCACAAAAAATGTGGATCTAGAGTTAAAACTGTTGTTAAACATTTAAATACGAAAGTCTTAATCCTGTAGTTCTCTTTTACATAAAAACTCTTGCAGAAGTTAATATAGATCTAGATTTGAGGAAGACTAACAAGATTTATCATAGAAAGTTCATCTTTCAGTTTATAAATTAAGGCCCCAGTTGCAGATTCAGACCACTGAGTCTGTGCTTTGAAATCAGGTGGACTGTGCAGGCCGCAGGGGGCCTTTGTTAGTGGATCACACTTGTGGATTGGGGTCAAGAGATCTAATGCTATTTTTCCCCCAGGAAAAATCCATACATTTTAGATGTAAATAGTTATTCCAAACTGAAGATAAAGTATACCTTCCTCTCTAGTTAGGACTTTAACTTTGAGTGCTGCAAAAGAGAAGCCGCAGTTATGTTTGCTACAGATTCTCTCTTCAGCAGGATGTTCACACTGTGGTGTGCTTTATTACACCTAGAAAAATTATTCCTTTAGCCAAAGCAGATGATTTACTGTATCAGTTAGCTGTGAGATTAATAGACTTTTAAATACAGATAGCAGAAAGTACTGTTTTCAGTGTTTAAGCCAGGGCCATTCACAAAGTAGTTATGTCCCAAATAGCTCAACACTGGGCGTGTCTAGATGAGATGCTAACTGCACAGTAATGTCTACTGCACAGTAGTATTAGGCTACTGCTCAGTAAGCATCACTAAAAAACCATGTGCCAGTGCTACTATGCAGTAGCGCAAGTTACTGTGTATTGATTTAGCACTTAGTTAACCAGGTACTAAAAGTAATGCGTAGTAACTATGGTGCATTAATGAATGTGTAGATATGCTCACAGATTCTAGGTTCGGAGTGAAGTATCAGCTACAGTAATTATTAACTCAGTGACAAAGCTACCTTTATTCACTTATCTCTACTGAAATTGTCATTTTTCCTGAGAGCACCTTAAGTGTTGATAAAAGCTGAAATAATTTCCTAATTTTAGC